CTAAAACAGCTTTTCCCAGCCATCTGAGAGTTCTGAAGAAAAATCCCCTATAATCAGTAACCCTAAAGACAGCAAGCCCCTTGTTACTAATGTAACATACATCTTCGCACCAGAGTTAATGTTATAGACGCTTCTGGTCTAATGGTCTTGGCAGTCAGACTTGATTTCAATGGTGAAATTAGATTTTATATTAAGATTCTTGATGCCAAAAGACAACTGTTTGTCTTTCCTGTGATCTATGTTCTTATTGAAATACAATTAGTGGGCGGTGGTTCACACCTGTAATCCTAGCACTCTGGGAGGCCAAGGCAGGAGGATTGCTCAAGGTCAGGAGTTCGATACCAGCCTGAGCAAGAGTGAGACCCCGTCTCTACTAAAAATAGAAAGAAATTAATTGTCCAACTAAAAATATATAGAAAAAATTAGCCAGGGATGGTGGTGTGTAGTCCCAGCTACTCGGGAGGCTGAGGCAGGATTGCTTGAGCCCAGGAGTTTGAAGTTGCTGTGAGCTAGGCTGATGCCACGGCACTGTAGCCTGGGCATCAGAGTAAGACTGTCTCAGAAAAAAAAAAAAAAAAAGAAACACAATTAGTGATAAGATTAGTGATACCAAAAATAATCTGAATGGAGCCCTATTCTTGACCGCCCAAGTGGTGATATTAGTAGAAATGCAAGAATTTTAAGGTCATTTTTGAGCCCATATATTAACGTTAAATCTCTTCCTGGTGTTTAAGAAAGTGGATTAACTCATCAATATCCCCAGATACCAATAGGCCCAAAAGAAGGAATAAAAGAGTGTATATACTTCCCTGAGTATGTAACTACTAGAAAGTGATTTTGCCTATGAAATGTACTATGGTTAAATTCTATACAAAATGTGAAATTTGAAGTTTGAAATAGCACTCTATTAAATGTATTAATAAAATCTCTATGTGCAAAATTCAAAATAATGAGAAACTTCCCAAATTTAACATTCTTCAAGAATCTCGTAATTCTAAATCTAGTCTACATGAATTGAAAACTGTGATTACGCCATAACCACAAAGCAGTGCCACTTTAGCTGGTTTCCAGAAATACCCATTGTCCCTTGTCAGTCAAAACTGGCACAAACCAATGGCACCACAAATTTGTGATCACAGGCCTCACACGTATAATTGGACAGCCTGCTGCTGTGGTGAGCACAGAACCATAAAAAGCAAACGTGGAGACGGGTTATGAGGACAAATCCCCTCGTTCTACAGGGTTGAGACATTCCATTGAAGGGACCTAGTCTCTGCTTTGAAAAGATACTGAAAATGCTTGAACTCCACCCACTAGGGAAACAGTTGGTTAATTATTACCTGAGGACGCATATCTTAAGGAATTACAGAGAACAGAGACTATGGAAAAAATAATCAAAGGAATGTTTCCTGGTGCTATTAATAGCATCATAGCAGAATGCTGAGTCACGACAGGCTGAGATGGTTCCATTTCTCCTCTCACTTTAAACTGAACTGGATGTGGGATGGGAGTTCTTGCCTAATTGAAAAACAGGAAACATTTGCTACTAATCACCCATTGCTAAGTGAACTGTTAAATACTCCTGTCTGACAAAGGGATAGTATCTACAATATGTAAAGAGCTCTCAAAATACAATAGTATAAGAACAAAAAAATCCAATTACAGCATGGGCAAAGGATTTGAAGAGATACTTCACTAAAGAGGATACACAGATGACAAATGAGCACATGGAAATACATTCCATATCATTAGTCATTTGTAACTGCAAATTAAAACCACAAGCTATTACTACACACTTATCAGAATGGCTAAAATAAAAAAATATATAGTGACAGTAAGTGAAAGAAGTCAATATAAAAAGGCTATATACCATATGATCCGAATTACATGGCATGCTAGAAAAAGGAAAAACTATGAAGACGGTCAAAGAATCAATGGTTGCCAGGGGCTTAGGGGGAGGGGAGGATGAATGTGCAGAACACTGGATTTTTAGGGCAGTGAAACTATTCTGTATACTATACTGGTGTATAATATAGTATACTATACTATAATGGTGGATACATGTCTTTATACATTGTCAACACATGTAGAATGTACAGCACCAAGAGTGAACCTAATGTAAATGATATTTACATATCACTCTGGGTAATAATGATGTATCCATGTAGGTTCAGATTGTAACGAATGTACCAGTCTGGTGCAGGATGTTGATAGTGGGGAATGCTGTGCATATGTGAGAACAGAGGCATATGTATCTTCTGCTCAATTTTCTTGTGAATCTAAAACTGCTCTGAAAAATAAAGTCTATTTTAAAAAAAAAAAAAAAAAGGACAATGCCAAAAGTTGGCAAAGATGAAGAGAAACTGGATCACACATAATTGGTGGTGGGAATGTAAAATGGTATTGCCACTCTGCAAATCATTTTGGCAGGTTTTAAAAAACTTTGTAAGATACTGGGCTATAAGGACAATGGACACCTTCCAGATTCTGTTTACTGCTTGTTTGCTAACCACAAGACATTATGAGTACATTATGGGATGCAGAGGAAAAAGACAAAGAACGCGGAAACCGGAGTCTCTCAGCTAGGACCCTGAACAGGTTAGAGCCTATCAGGGGCAGGATGAAGTAAGAATCACTGTGGGGGCGGATGCATGACCAGTGTGTAAACAACTGAGTTACAAAAAGGGGACTAACACACAAAGGAGGGTCCTTGCCCGGAGATGAGGCCACTGCGCTGGCACTCTGGGGGCTTGGACCCTATCTCGAGCTAGACAATAAAACTCCTTTTGATAACTACAGCCTCGGTGACTCTGTCTCTCTGTCCTGCAGCCTTGTGAATCTCGAATATAACAACTTAACACACAATACCCCAGAGAAATGAAGACTTATATCCACACAAAACCTGTACTGAAACATTTATAGCAGCTTTATTTGTAATAGCCAAAAGACTGGTAACAACTCAAATGTCCTCGAACAAATAAATGATTAAACAAAAATTGGTACATCCATACCATGGACTACTATTCACCAATAAAAAGGAGCAAACTATTGAATACAGTAGCCTGGATGAACCTACAAATAATTTTGCTGGGGGTGGAGGAAGGAGCCAATCTCAAAAGTTTCCATACTGTATGATTCTATTAATAGAACATTTGTTTTGTTTTGTTTTGAGACTGAGTCTCACTTTGTTGTCCAGGACAGAGTGCTGTGTGGTGTCAGCCTGGCTCACGGCAACCTCAAACTCCTGGGCTCAAGCGACCCTTCTGCCTCACCCTCCCGAGTAGCTGGGACTACAGGCATGCGCCACCATGCTTGGCTAATTTTTTCTATATATTTTTAGTTGGCCAATTAATTTCTTTCTATTATTTTTTTAGTAGAGACAGGGTCTCGCTCTTGCTCCGGCTGGTTTTGAACTCCTGACCTTGAGGGATCTGCCCACCTCGGCCTCCCAAAGTGCTAGGATTACAGGCGTGAGCCACTGCACCCAGCCAATAGAACATATTTTTAATGACAAAATTATAGAAGTAGAGAACATATTAATGGTTGCCAGGGGATACACACAAAGTGAGGGAAAAGGGAAAAGTGGATATGGCTATATAAGGCAACTTGAGGGATTCTTGAGGTGATGGAAATGCCGTATTGACTGTATCAATATCAATGTCAATATCCTGATTGTGCTATTGTACTATATATAGTTTTGCAAGATGTTACCATTGGGGTAAACTGAGTAGTACACAGGCTTTCTCTGTATTATTTCTTATAACTGCGTGTGAATCTACAATTACATCAAAATAAAATCTGAATTTAAAAAATTGAACACAATGAGTCTGTTGCAACACGGAAGACAGCACTTGTTGCCAATGATAAAATTTAAGCTTTCAAGCAAAAATTAGAATCTGGGAAGATTTCTTTCTGCCACCATGAGCATAACAACTTCCAAGACTTGAAGACTTTTTTTTATGGGATTACTAGTGCTATTAACTAATGTTGTTTTGATAATGTATAATGACATGTGTCAAGAGTTGTTAACAGCTGCATAACTCAGTGAATCAATATTTTCTAAATGATCCATCCACAATATTACAAAATCATGTATAGCCGAAAGGATCTACTCAAAATACAAGGTAGACCAGTGGATTTTACTGGACCGAGTACAAAAGTTCATGGACATAGTTTCAGACTCCAACTGCAACTAACCTTTAAGAAATGACCATTTGTCAACTTTCAACAAAATATCAAAAAAGTATCCACACTTACCCAAAAAGACTATTCAAATATGTCTCCCTTTTCCAAGTATATATCTGCAGAGGTTAGATTTTCTTCATATCCTTCAATCAAACTAATGCATCTCAACAGATTAAGTGCAGAAGCACATATGAGGAATCATATGTTTTCCGTTAAGCTACATATTAGAGATTTACATGAAATCTAAATCAGTGCCCTCTTTTTGCTGAATTTTCTCTTTTTTTTGGAAAATATAGTTACTTTTCATTAAAACATTTATGTTAACATGTAATGGGCTTATTATTTTTTAATAATAAATATATACTTTTAAGTTTTCCTGGTTTGAATTTCTAATAAGGTAAATACTGATCAATGAATGAAATGTTTGTAGGCAAAAGCTCTTTGGGGTCCTTAATAATTTTTAGAAGTGTAAAGACTCCTGAGACCAAATCTTTTTTTTAAATTTGTATTTTTTTTTTTTACCTCCTAAGATTTGTACATCTGAAGAGACCCAAAACTTTGAGAACTGTTGCTCAAGGAGCTAAAAGTTTCCTTGTTGTTTGTAGTTGTGTGCTCAAACAAATTCTAAGGCAAGCTGGTGTGCCAAAGGGACTATATTGTTGCGACAAAGTGTACAGCTAGCATTATAGCTCTTGTTACAGCTCTTATTCGTTTGACCCATGAAAGAACCGAGCAGCACACGAAGAGTTGGAGAACAGCCTTTATTCTTCTACAGCAGACTCGGCACACCTAGTGTTACAGCTCTCTTCGTGTCTTCCAATATTCTGCCCCTCCTGCTCCTGCTTTTATACTCTTGATAGGGCTCAAGAAGCATCCAATCAACCACAAGCTTTAACAGCCAATCAACAATAAGCTTTAACATCCAATCAACAGCAAGCTTTAACATCCAATCAACAACAAGCTTCAACATCCAATCAAAAACAGTAGGATTCAAAAATTACCCAATCAGGATCACGGCAGCGCTGGACCGCAGAGATGCAGAACTACAGGGAGGTGGCAAGTGGCCTCCTCCCCACGCCCGACATTTTCCACATCAATATAAGAAAACAAAAGAGTAGTCAGTCTTAGGGAAAGACGTAACTGAGAGGGTGGGAGCTGTCCCAGTGCCCTTCCCTATATCAAGACGGGGCAGTGCTAGAACTGGGAGATTCTACATGGGGTACTATTGTTTCCAGTGGGTTTCTGGGAATCACTGGTGAGGCCACTGCACTTGACCCCTAAAACAGAAGGATCAGTAATTTTAAAAGGTATCTCTTATTGTTGCTCTCCCTTGATAGACAATATTCTACTTCCAGAGGAGCCTGGATGGCTTCCTCTCAATGAAAAAGAAAGAAACACAAACAACATTTCACCAATTTGACTTTTACCAAAATAATGATTTATAGTCCATCCAGGTATTTACAGAAAAGATCCATTTTTAGAAGGATGAGTCGGTTGTGCTGTAGCTTGAGTGAAATCCATGCTGAAGAATCCTTTTTCATTTCATTGGCTGGCCATGGTGTCAAGTTAATCTTCAAAAAGCATGCTGCTAAAAGGGGAAAGAACAATTGATGACTTAAGTTCTAAATTTAAAAACTGTCATGTAAATGAATCACAATGAAACGGTCTAGTTTTTAAATGAAGTCCCCATCAGCAGCATCCTGGCCTCCCTCCCTCCCTGCTGGCAAGTGGCTCCTGCTCCAGGCAGACCCCACGGTCGTGTTATTCAGATGCAGAACGTTAGGGTGAGCACACGCTTTGGCTTCATAAAAAAGGTCATTCTGATTTAAGATCTGAACTAGATCTGGAGGATCTGTTAGTGAATTAACTGTACAAATGCCCAGACTAAGGAAAATGTAAATCAGTGCCCTTGCCCTTGGGGATGTGTTTAAATAACCCAGAGGCAAAACAGTTCTTTTGTAATATTATGGAGCGTGTGTGTGTGTGTGTGTGTGTGTGTTTGTGTGTATGTGTTTCCACTTAACACCCTACCATGTCCCTGATACCTTGACAGTTTCCACCTTTTATTGACTTAGCTTCCTTCTTTCTCTTCTCTCTTGTTTTTTGGGTTGTTTTTTTTTTATCAGTTTTCTTTAATTCCTTCCAATTCCTACTTACTAAGTCAGAGCCATATAATAGCTCTTACATTTTCCCGTTGCCTGGAGACTATCCCGACAGTCCCAGCCACCCAGCCACCTGGTCCTCTCCTGCCTGTCCACACTTGTGTCTTCCCGACACCAGTGAGTGGCTCTGCCCTGCTGGCCCAAGGGACCATGGGCACAGCTGCCATCATGTTGGCCTACCCAGCCCTGCATTTTCTCATCCATCCCTTTTATTTTGAGTCATAAAACAAACAGGAAATAGCTACTTAAGAACAAAACAACTTGTTTACATTTTAAGTATTTTTCTAATAAGTTTGTGAAATAATTCATCGATTGCCTTATGATTAGCTTTAAACATCTTCCTGATGTTGAAGAAATAGGATAACAGTATGTGAGAATAAAATTATTTGCTCTCCATTCATTCATTGTTAACTTTTTTTTTTTTTTCTAAAGACAGGGTATAGTTCTGTTGCCCAGGCTGGAGTCCAGTGGTGTGATCATAGCTCACAGTAACCTCAAACTCCTGGCTTCAAGCGATCCTCCTGCCTCAGCCTCCTGAGTAGCTGGGACTACAGGCATGCACCACTACGCCTGGCTGATTTTTCTATTTTTAGTACAGATGGGGTCTCACTTTTGCTCAGGCTGGTATTGAACTCCTGAACTCAAGTAATCCTCCTGTCTCAGCCTCCCAGAGTGCTAAGATTACAGGTGTGAGCCACCATGCCCAACCAGTATGTCTTGAATAATCATTTTTCTGATGAAAATATACTCTTGCTTTAGCATATTGCAGTATTATTACTTTCAGAGATAATCTAATCGGTCATTTTTAAATTAGTTTTCAGTAGCAATTTTCAGAGACTCTAATTTGAATGAAATAGAATTGGAAGAAATTCAAAGCTTCACTTGTAAGTAATGTTCAGATTTTATCCCATTCTCTTTGTGGTCCTTAGTGAGTAAGAATATGAATCTGTGTGTGAAACCCGGTGCTGTCTGCTGCTAGGGTGCGTGGTGGGTGCCAGGCACACGGCTCCGCCCTGCCCTTCAAAATGGAAGCTATCATGCAAGAAATGCCCTTCCCTGAAGGCCCTCACCTTGCCCAGTTTTATGTGCCCTCCTCTGGCAGCCTAATCCAATGGCTGTTGATGTGGGGAGACGAAAGGCCCAGCCTCCCTCTTTCAATTGGGGATGTGTCTAAGGAGCATCCAGCTCCAGAGCTCCCTGGAGGATGGGCTGAGATCTTGGCCACAACTGCATCACAGACTAGCCTCCCCCCTGCCAAGTCCAGCTCTCACTCCATGACAGGTGCTCCCAAGAGCCCTCCTAATAAACCTCCTGCACGTAAATATCCAAGTCAGAAGCCAGGTGGGCGTGGTGGGTCACGCCTGGTAATCCTAGCACTCTGGGAGGCCAAGGCGGGAGGATCACTTGAGGTCAGAAGTTTGAGACCAGCCTCAGCAAGAGTGAGACCGGGTCTCTACCAAAAACAGAAAGAAGTCAACTAGGCAACTAAAATAAATAATAATAGAAAAAATTAACCAGCCATGGTGGTGCATGCCTGTAGTCCCAGCTACTCGGGAGGCTGAGGCAGGAGGATCACCTGAGCCCAGGAGTTTGAGGTTGCTGTGAGCTAGGCTGACGCCACAGCACTGTAGCCCAGGCAACAAAGTGAGACTTTGTCTCAAAAAAAAAAAAAAAAATCCATCTTAGAGTCACCTTCCCAAAGGACCCAGCCTATTTTCAAGAGTCTATTGCCATTTCAGAGATTTTTTGAGGCAAGACTTTCAATCCTCTATCTGAAAACCTTGCCTTACAGTTGGTTACTCCATATGAAGCCAGAATTAGCTGGAACCTTCTTTAATGGAAGAGCTGCCCCAAACATGCCTGCATCCCCGCCCCCTTCCTAGAGGCCTGAGCTCAGCCGCCACTACAACGCTTCTAGAATAAAAACACTCTCAGGCCACCTCTTTACCAGGAAGCATTGAACTTGCAGGCAAAATCAGAAAATCAGCTGTGCCTTTCAGGAAGGTCCCAGACCACTCACACTCGGAAGAAGCGGCTCACAATCATACACGATGTTGGGTACAATTCCAAGAGGATAATGAACTCCCCAAAAAGCCCCCATTGATTTATATAGCGAAGGTCATAAGAAATCATCGTCTCCAATCAGTTGTCCCAGCACAGGAGATAAAGAGAAGAAGGTTTAAAAAAAGAAAACAGAACAGTACATCAAAAATGTCTTAATTCTCCTCTGGATGATTTCATCAACAGGTTTTAAATAACCAAATACCAGATTCCACTTACATTTTCCAGGGTCATAGTTGCTGTATTTGAACTTGTCCTTTTAAGATACTTCCTCCTGACACAATAGACACTGACAAGGGTGACGACCAGCATCAGAGCGAACACAGCAACAGTAGAAGAAACAGCGATGACGATGGTGTCCCTGGTGGATCCTCGCCTTTCACACCTTTCTCCCATGTACCACCAGTCGTCCCCCGACGGGCACCTACATGTTGCAAACACGACTCAGTTATGAGTTGATATCTAGCACTGAAAAGCCTCCCCATCAAAGGTGCTGGCCACTTTCAGTCTATTTGATCACCAAGAGGTCACTGACACATGGAACTATTTTACCCACTCTGGGCTGGACGCGGAGACCAGCACCAGGAACACAGGCGGGAGCCACAGGAAGGAGAAATGGAACTAGTCCTAATCTGGTACTGAAATAGCAGCTCCAAGGCAGGACAGGCAGGTAGCATAGGTAACTGAGAAAGTTTAGTTCTCAATGTCCCACCTTCCAGCTTTGACCTTGGCCAAGGGCATTGTCAGAATGTCAATATATTCACCGAGCGAGGTGGCTCACGCCTGTAATCCTAGCACTCTGGGAGGCCAAGGCGGGCGGATTGCTCGAGGTCAGGAGTTCAAAACCAGCCTGAGCAAGAGCAAGACCCTGTCTCTACTAAAAATAGAAAGAAATTAATTGGCCAACTAAAAATATATAGAAAAAATTAGCCAGGCATGGTGGCACATGCCTGTAGTCCCTGCTACTAGGGAGGCTGAGGCAGGAGGATTGCTTGAGCTCAGGAGTTGGAGGTTGCTGTGAGCTAGGCTGATGCCACAGCACTGTAGCCCAGGCAACAGAGTGAGACTCTGTCTCAAAAAAAAAAAAAAGAAAGAAAAGAATGTCAATATATTCATCTAGAAAATGGAAGCCACCACCCTTGTGGGTATTTAATAAGATAGGTAACTTATGAGGACTTTTCCGGCAATTAGGATGTATTGTGCTATTTTTTCATAAATAATTTCAATTTTTTTAAATTTTAAAAGATAGGGTCACATTCTTGCTCAGACTGGTCTTGAACTCCTGACCTCCCACCTCCCACCTCAGCCTCCCAGAGTGCTAGGTTTACAGGTGTGAGCCACTGCACCTGGCCCTGATTTCATTGTTACATGGCCATCCAAAGTCCCAAAAGAAAGGCAAAAAACTAAATATCCTGTGAATGTTTTTTTGTTTTTGTTTTTGTTTTGAGACAGAGTCTCACTTTGTTGCCTGGGCTAGAGTGCCGTGGCGTCAGCCTGGCTCACAGCAACCTCAAACTCCTGGGCTCAGGTGATCCTTCTGCCTCAGCCTCCCGAGTAGCTGGGACTACAGGCATGCACCACCATGCCCGGCTAATTTATATATATGTGTGTGTGTATATATATATATATTTAGTTGGCCAATTAATTTGTTTCTATTTTTAGTAGAGATGGGGTCTCACTCTTGCTATGGCTGGTTTTGAACTCCTGATCTTGAGCGATCCTCCCGCCTCGGCCTCCCAGAGTGCTAGGATTACAGGTGTGAGCCACTTCACCCGGCCACTGTGAAAGGTTTTGAGACGAGAATCGATGAATTTCATTCATAGGAACTATCAGTATTCAATCCTATGTTGTGGGAATAAAATTTCGAATAAAAGAATGGGGGAGGATCTCTGTCCAGTGATCTGTACCTGCATTGAGCTTTGTCATCTCGAACAGCACAGACGCCATCATTCTCACAGGTGAGTTCCGAGCACAGGTCTTGGACACTAGAGGTTGGTGTCGGTTTGGTTGATGTAGAATTGAGGTGAGATATGTCTAGGAGGATGTGGGGAGAATGTGAATGAAAATCAATTTTTGCTCCAATAATCATTTGATCTTTAAGTTTCAAAATAGATGATCTTCAGGTTTTAGGCTTGTGAGAAATTCAGATAATCTTGAAGCACAGTCCAGCAACGTTCACAGACAGTGAAATAAGAACTGGGCCGGCCTGCTGGGGCTACAACTTAACCACATGCTGCCTGGGCTGTGGAAGCTCAAAAGGGTACAAACCCTTGATACCAACCCTCAAGGGACAGATAAGAAAACCAAAGCGCAAAAATGTAAAGCAATTGAGGGTTCTGTGCAAGGTCACAATTCTCTTGCTTGGTGGTGCAAGTTGGTGGATATTTGGAGCAAGACCCTGGAAAACCAGTGTTCTGTTCTTTGCAGTGTTTTTGTTGCATCTAGTCCAAAAGTAGGGTCAATGAGAATTGGTGAACGTGTGAATTTTTCTTTGCACGTAAAATGTTTTCTCTCTTGATAAAAGTTATTCCCAAATAATTTTTTCTAATAAGTATCATCTAGATTTACTCTAATGAACACTAAAGTCAAAATGTTGTGGGTTTTAAGTGAACCACCTTTCATCACAAACGAAATTCTGATTTCTTGAGATGCAAGTGAGTCTTTAATAGAAAAGAAGTTATTCTACCACATGAAACATGGAAACCACCAGAATTGCTGGAAAATTTATTTATTGGCTGTCAGGGATAAGAAATTTTCACAGACAATAGGTTAATGTTCTTACTGCCAAGATATATATGTCTATGTGCATATGTTTGCACATGTGTGTGTATATATGTATGTATATGTGTGTATATATGTACGTACATGTGTGTATATGTATGTACATGTGTGTATATATGTATGTACATGTGTGTATATATGTATGTATGAATATACATTTGAAACGATGATAAGGCAATCTGTTTCCAGTTTAATTTCATGTGCTTGTGTGATATTTTTATTTCTGGAACCCTAGAGTAAAATGCTAGGGTATAATATTGATAACTATACTTTAACTTATTTCTAAAGAAAGTTTCCAGCCTAAAGGTTTCCACTATTGCTTCATGTGGCGGTAATTAAATTCTTTATCCTAGAACCCTCACTGTTTCAACTTAAATTGTTTTCAGATTGTTAATAATTTATACTTCCCAAACCCACTTATGCTCATTTCCTCCCACATCTCTATATAATATATTTAAAAATGAAACCCAAAAGAACACAGTAACTAATGGTCACCACAGAAAACCTGCTGATATAAAACTATTTTTATTGACATACCTTCCACTGTCAGGAGAATGTAAACGTCATTTCCTTTTATAAAATCTCTGCTTTTCAGCCTCTCGTGAGTTATAAAGGCACTGGTTCCATAGCCCCTACTTCTTCTGAACTGGGTTCCATTAGGGAATAAAACCACTTCGCCTACTTTGGAAGGCCTGTCCCAAAAATAGTTTCCATCATCTGAAAAAGCAATTTATATTAATGGATTGTGTTTAGGCTCATCATAGCTTTTGGTGGTAGGAAAGAACAGGAAATGTGAAACACAATTAGGATGGAGCTCAAAATAATTAAATGATGTTATTGATCTGTGATGTATTCCCTGGCAAATCACTAGTGCTTGTTCATTTAGACTGTCCCTAAAGGAGATGAGTTTGCCTGGCACGGAACACCACGCTCTGGACCAAGGTACCAAGAGTTTCCTAGGTGGGCATATCACACCTATACTTCTTGGCCAGTATAGAAACCCTTCTGCTATTAGAATCATTCCTTAGTGGCCTTCTGAGTAAGACAGTCCATTTAACCAAGTTAAAGCAATATGTTGCTGAGAGAGTTTTTCATATTAGCACAGAACAAATCATCTCATTAATTGAATTATTCACCTAACAGAGCAAAATCCTTCAGGAGAACACAGCAAGAAGCACTGCTTCTGGGAAAAGATAATGACCCACCCAACCCTGAACCATTTTTAACATCATTCAGGGAGAAACGCTTTGGAAAAAAAAAAGCAAAAAAGTTCTGAATATTGAGTCCCTATAATTCCATTGATGCATATTATTTTTTTTCCTATGAGATTAAGTTGATTTTTTTCCTATATCGCTTTGGTCAATCCTTTTCATATATAGAATTTAGATTTGGCAATAATATTCAGCTTGCTGTAATTCCATTTTTTCTTTCATTAGGGTCCCAGAGGCAAAGGATTATTAAAATTAGAAGTGTAGAGATTGCTTTCTGTGTGCTGCTGCTTTGTGAGACTGGAAGGACAGGGAATGATGTCACCATTAGCAAGTCCTCCAGAACTTTTCAATAAGCATTTATAATCCATTCCCATCCCCTTCACTCCAGTGCACCTGCCCAACATCTTCCTTCTGATCAAAAACTACCCCCACCCCAAGAGCTGAATTGTTTTTCTACAACCCCAGTGGCATGACCGAGGAGGAAGCATGAGTTAGAAAGCTCAGCATCTGAGGGCCTCGCCAGAGCATGCTCTTCCACAAGCTTCTGCATTTGATCTGTTCTAATCCTCAGAACAAATCTGTGGAATTATGATTACAGCTTGGGGCTCCAAGAGATTATCTGCTTAAGGTCACATAGCTAATGAGAAGCACACACCTTGGATCTGAATCCAGGCATGTCAGGCTCTGAAACCAACACTCCTTGCATGAAAGTGGAAATTTGAGGATGGTTACCAATTCCCAGGAATACACTCAGTATCTTCTCTGTTTTCTTGGAGTCCTTGCTGATATCCCTACCAGGCTACTGTCTGGGAGACTCTTGCCCACAACTGTTGAATCCTTCCCCTTAAATTTCTGTTCTTGAGATTTGGGGCTCATAATTCCCTAGGTAACTGTGCAATCTCTTGTTCCCCAAACCATCTGTCCCTCCCAGAGCAATGATCATGTATTAGCAATAAAGAAAATGAGTCACAAACCGGTGGTCATGAATGGGTCTGTAGTTATACTCCGCTGGTTGGACATACGCTGTCGGATGTCAGGATTTTGATCCAAGAGTGTCATCGTGGCTTGTTGCCAAGGACACGGCCACTGTAATTGATCATCATTGGCTCCAGAGATCAAGTGGAAATATATCCCTGCATTAGTCAAATGGTTTAGAGTCAAGTAAATCTGAAAGGCATAACCTTTAGAGGAATAAAATGGAGGGCTATAGAGAGTTCCATTTGGGCTGCCAATGAGCTGTGTGAAATTCCTTATACGCCAGACATGATGAGGGCACCGTGTTTCCGAAAGATTGATGTCGTCTATGGACAGACCACCCAAGGATGCGCCAGAGCCTTTGCGCCCTTCAAACACCACTCTGAACTTGTTGGTCACTTTCAGTGTGACATGGTAAAGTTCCCAGCTCCCAGTGGGTATTTCTGCAAAAGAGTTATTAACATTTCAAAGAATGCAAAGAACTATGAATCTACGCAAATCGACATTAGAGTTCAAACCTTCATAGACAAATGATCATCCAAGTACTGATTCCTACAGGTCAGATGTATGGTTTTCCCATACCTTCAGCCCAGGCTCATTTACTTCAGGGTAGTTCTGTGGGGTCAGACTTATTTGAATGTTTATCTAGCTGTTTCTCAAATAGGTCGCCCTTTCCTAGAGGTGGGTGAACAAACGACATCTAACTCATGAGTGCTCCATGACCTACTTCTGACTTATCTGCCACTTTTTTTTTTTTTTAAGAGACAGGGTCTTGCTCTGTCACCCAGGCTGGAGTGCAGTGTCAAACTCCTAGGCTCCTTTCACCTCAGCCTCCTGAGTTACCTGCATTCCGTATTAGTTACATGGTCGAGCAAGCTCAATATTCTAACACCTGTATCCAAGATTCCTGTGATACTCAGGCAAAACCTTCTTCAATATATTTATAGTTTGGAATAATTCTTTCACATGCAAAGTTTTCAATCAACTTTTTGGCAATATTAAACCAGAATCCACCAAACCCTAGAAAGCTTGCATCCTACATTTACACCTTAGATCACTTACCAGTGACTCAACATTATTTATCTGACACTGGTACCCCTTCTTTCTCCCCAGCCTCCACTCCCTCCTTTACCCCATATCTCCAGCCAGCAGCACACGGCATGCCATTCTGTCTTGTGTTCTTACATCGCCTGCTCAGATAAGAAGCAGTATACTAAAAAATCTTCATAAGCCCCCAGATGGACCACAGCTGAGAATTCATGCCAAACTAAGTAGTTAACACAATGACTTGAAATGTAAATACATTGGTACTTAGGAAATACAGGTGCTTGAAAATAAGTTAGAAATATCCAAATTACAGAACATGCTATTGTCCATGGATGGATTCAAGATTGAACAAAAGCCTTTCATGAGAGGTTCCACTGCATCGTTATCAGCATTATCAGTTCAAATTCTGGGCTCTGGCCGGGCGCGGTGGCTCACGCCTGTAATCCTAGCACTCTGGGAGGCTGAGGCGGGTGGAATTGCTTGAGGTCAGGAGTTCTAAACCAGCCTGAGCAAGAGCGAGACCCCATCTCTACTATAAATAGAAAGAAATTAATTGGCCAATTTATATATAGAAAAAAATTAGCCGGGCATGGTGGCGCATGCCTGTAGTCCCAGCTACTTAGGAGGCTGAGGCAGGAGGATTGCTTGAGCCCAGGAGTTTGAGGTTGCTGTGAGCTAGGCTGACGCCACGGCACTCATCTGGGCAACAAATTGAGACTCTGTCTCAAAAAAAAAAACAAAAAATTAAAATTAAAAAAAAAAAAAATTCTGGGCTCCTAAGCAAGCTTCCCAAGTGTCTTTTGCATTGTTGTCTATCAATGATACACCCACAGATTGATAATGGAAAGGATCCCCCTTCCAAGCCTGGATAATTATATATATTATGTATTATATATATTATATTATATTAACAGTTGTATTATATGTATCAATACATAATATATAATATTTGTATTAACATATATATGGTTTATATATAAAGCTTTCATATATATAAAATGTATAATGTATATTATATATGTAATTATGTGTTATATAATCACATATGTATATGTTAATATATTACATATGTAATTATATATGTTAATATATGTTATATATGTCATTATGTGTTATATAATGCATATGCATAATGTATGTATATTCTTAGTAAGATTAAAAACCTGGTATTCATAGGTGTTCACAAAAAAAAATATCGTCTGTATTTCAGATTGTATCTCATTGTCAAATAGACAGGGAAAATGTCACTTTATAATCAATTTTATAATAGCTTTTACTCAATTCCTTCAAACCCGGAGGTGAATGTGTGGAGCAGACAGTAATACATTTGCCAGCCCACAGCTCTGCCCTCCTCAGGGAACCTCCTTAACCACTTGCTTGGATAGGCGGTGGACATGATCCCCGTTCTCTGACACATTCTGACATGAAAGGCGGGCACCCACTCACAAATTCTCCAGAAGTTGCATTTAACCAAATAATAAGGATCAGAGTCCTTCACTGGGATTTATTGCTAGAGATTAGAGATAGAATCTCTTTTCTAGTCCAATGGCACATTTGGTAAGACATAAGCTGGGAAGTGAAATAGCCAAAGTCCCAGGCTCACGGACAAAGCCAGCCTGAGATAAAATGAGAGGTCCCCAACCATGTTCAGGGCCAGGGCCAGTCCTCCCTGAAGCCAGTTCCTTCCTCGTCTGTTCCACAGATTATAACAGTATCCCTTCCCAATTTGCCTAAGCTAGCACACACTGCATTTTTACTACTTGCCAAGAACGGACCTCCGCCATGCCAGAGACTGACCTAAGTTTCTTAAGTGAGTGTCACATTACATAGCTCACACAAAAGACCCTCACTGTAGCATTTTTACTATAAAACAAGAAGGACCAAGTTCTAAATTGAAAAATAGCGAGCCAGCATCCCCACCCTGTTGTAAGTTGTTGCGTTAAGAAAAGAGCTAAGGCCGGGCGTGGTGGCTCACGTCTGTAATCCTAGCACTCTGGGAGGCCGAGGCGGGAGGATCACTCAAAGTCAGGAGTTCGAAACCACCCTGAGCGAGACCCCGTCTCTACTAAAAATAGAAAGAAATTAATTGACCAACTAAAAATATATATACAAAAAATTAGCCGGGCATGGTGGTGCAAGCCTGTAGTCCCAGCTACTTGGGAGGCTGAGGCAGGAGGATCACTTGAGCCCAGGAGATTGACGTTGCTGTGAGCTAGGCTGATGCCACAGCACTCACTCTAGCCTGGGCAACAAAGTGAGACTCTGTCTCAAAAAAAAAAAAGAAAAAGAAAAGAAAAGAGCTAAGAATGAATCACTTTGAACCCAAACAATAAGGATGTTGATATTGTACCTTTAATCTCTTCCACAAGAGTTAAACTGCCATTCACATTGTCTGTAGAATACTCCCTAGTGTAGATGTTCAGTTGGTCACTTTCACTTCCACTGTTATATAAATAAAATTGCAAGCACTGAAATCCTCTTTTAGGGTACAGCGTTCTACTTTCCAGCACTGCCGTGGCCCCCACATTTACAGAGCTTGTGTCGAAATGCATGAAGAAACCAGAACCTGTTAACAAAGCAGAATTGAGTGAAAACAATTTCTGGGTATAGGAACATGTGTTTGTTAACAGCGGTGGGAGATTCTTTACATGAGGCATAACTAATAGCTAACATCAATATATAAGGCACAAGGTAGAAATTTCAGAAGCCTAAACTCCATATCTGGCACTTTGAAAAACAAGCAGATTGACAGAATACAATAAAACTCAAATCTCTCTATTAAAATGTTTACTTAGAATAGTAGGAGTTTTCTGTGGGCACTGATCTTTGCTTACTTTCATTTGCTGTGTATCTTTACAGCAAATCTAAGTATCAAATACTAATTTAAAAAAATCCAATGTGAGGCTTTAGGTCATGCCTAAACAGCAGGACCAAAAGGTAGATTCTGCAAGGGACACCTTTCAACTGCCCCCAACTCTGGTCAGCTCCAGGGGACAACAGCTACCACTGGAAAGATGCCACAGAGAATTGTCCCTTCTCTAAGAATATAAGAAAAGGAAAATAGGCCGGGCGTGGTGGCTCATGCCTATAATCCTAGCACTCTGGGAGGCTGAGGCGGGCGGATCGCTCAAGGTCAGGAGTTTGAAACCAGCCTGAGCAAGAGTGAGACCCCGTCTCTACTAAAAATATAAAGAAATTAATTGGCCAACTAAAAATATACAGAAAAAAATTAGCCGGGCATGGTGTCCCAGCTACTTGGGAGGCTGAGGCAGAAGAAGAAAAGGAAAATGGAAATCAAGTCAAAAGGAAGGCTTGAAACCTGGGTAGGTAGAGAGTGGTAGCATTTTTGCCTCTCAAGGCTAATTCAAGGTGAGGTTGTAGGTCCTTCTGGAGATTTGAACACACACTGTGTGTGGACAGGAGAGACAGCCCAGCCAGGAAAGCCCAGGGCCTTTGCTGACCTGCCCATTCTTTAACACTTCCTAAATTCTTTGCCTTTAAACTACCAAAATAATAATAATAATAATAATTCAATTTTCAGAATACATTAGAAGTACAGCAACCATTGGATGAGCTCCACCTTTTAATGTTTAAAAAATTAAATTCAGAACAAAAAGACTTGGAGTAACTGAGCTCAATAATTTCAAAGGTCTCTCTCAGTTCTCTGTTTCCATTACTTGCAATACTTAATCTTCTAAATCATCTCTAAAGGAAGACAGAGCTAGTAGTTCTGACTTGAGTACATATAGTACAGTTTCTTTATCTTATTTCAAACATTTGCTGAGTTCGCATATGCAGGGTGCTGTGTTGAGCACTTAAATATGACTCTGGGAGCAGGTAATTTATGAAAGAGACAGCATTAGGTAACCTTTCTGTTACTACAGACATAAGCTTTCAAAGACAAAAAAAAAAAACATGAGAGCTGCCTAGTCTGGTCCCTCCCTCCCTTCCTTCCTTCCTTCCTTCCTTCCTTCCTTCCTTCCTTCCTTCCTTCCTTCCTTCCTTCCTTCTCCTCCCTCTAGATAGGACCACTATCCACTATCCAAATGTGCATTTAAAAATAAAAATAAAACAAAAAGTAGCTTTTTTCTATTAGAGATCTCATCCCCTGTCTAGACCATCTGAGCTATCTAGTTTTACTTGTTTGCTGCCAGAAATAAGCAATTAAATAAAAATGTGGTACTTGTAGCCAAATGGCTACTTAATGCAAAACAAAATGAGAATGGGAAAGGAAATTCATCTAAATACAAATTAATAAGTTGTGCTTTCTACCTTCATTTAAGGTATTTTTGTTACAGGAACACGCAATCACATCCAGCTACAATTCTGCAACTTAATAATCCATAGTCTAGTGGTGTCCATTGGAAAGAGCCTCTTATAAGCTTCAAGCAGCATGCTAGAAAACAACACCACTGCCTCTAAAATAATGATCCTTCCAGAAGGTGTGGTCTTCCCCTGCTATGGGCAAGTACTGCTAGAAGCATCACCGAGCCCAAACTCATGGAAAGAAAAACAAACTCAGAGAGTTAAAAGCAAAGAAATTAACCATGTCTTTATAAGGCACAAGGCCTACTCCTTAGTAGCAATCTAATGAATTATCTTTAAGAATTCTGATAGAAATTAGAGATAAAATCACAGTCTTTCATAAAGAAAGTCAAGGCTGGAGCCACCGAATGGACAATCTAGAAGGATCTCACTCCTGTTACCTTGGCACTGGCCCATATTGGAGTGATCGCTGTCTGGCCCCCTGGGAACCTGGGAAACGCGTTGCCAGTCAGCACTATCTCCTGAACTTTGGATCATACCACACACGTTTTCCAGTTCAAAATTGCACGAGTCCATAAAACTCAAGGAAGAGGCTGCAAAAGCAAAAAATCAATTATTGACATTCATACGACATGATAATCTAAGTAATAAAAACTGAGGTCATCACAGATGTATCGGGACGGCCAGGGTGACATTAAAGGGGACACCTAGCTGATTCTGGGTGATCATGGCTTAAAGACCCCCTTTTTATCTGCAGAACCCTTAATTTTTTCTCTAATCATCTAATTTATGGAAACCCGAGTCTAAACTCCCCTAGTTATTCAAATCATTAAGCCACAGCCGAGATTATTTGATCCCATTTATATTCTAAGTATACACCTCATTTCAGCTGAAAAGAGATTTGAGTATCAAGCGGGTCTACATCTGATTTAGCAACAGCTTCAAAAACCAGTCTGAAGCGTATTCCTACAGCACCCAGTTTGTTTTTAGGTCTCCAAGCCAGGCCTGTGAGAAGAAAAATGCTGCTTCCAGGTTGCAGATTGGAATCTGGGTGCTATTCTGCTTTTTTTTTTTCCCTGAATATCAAATTTCTGTTATCTGAGAAACTCCAACAATGCTCAGTAAAATAGCACAGACCATCATTTTTTCTCACATAGCGGAGGGAGATGTAAGTAATTTCAAAGAACCTGTCACATACAGCAATTATACAGTCGATTCAGCTTTAGCAGATCAGAGTCACTGAAATCCATCCGTTGGCCGATCACGTCCTCGAAGTCTGAGATTCTTGTGACAATGGTGGGCTCCGTTCCATTCTGGAATGCAGTTTTACTGTAGTGCATGACGGAAGTGTAATCGTAGGGAACGTTCAGGGAATCCGATACCTGGTCACTATAGGTGTTAAAATTGTGCTCTCGGCCTAAAGAATAAATAAAAAAAATCTCTGATTACTTGATGCTCACAAAATTCAGCTTATCTTACTCCAAACGCTATTAACTTAGAAACAGAGAATATGATAAACTAGACCAACTTTTGCTACAACTGATCTACTGTATTTCAAGTGTTTCATTGTTCCTATCCTAGAATATAACATTCAAGATCAGACCTGTGATACCAGCTGTCACATGGAATATAGCTAAGGTTCCATTACAGCCGGAAGTCAGAACATTAGCATTTGATTGCAGGTTCTGGGGACTGCTAATGGAAAGGAGGGGTCTCAGAAGTGTTGTTGAACTGGTCAGGGCACCGGCCAGCGATGATGGAAGTTCTGGAGTGATAGCAGATGGAGATGACGGGAAGAGGACTTTGGGAAGGCTGATGAGATGGGACCTGGGAGTGATAACTTTCTAGAAAGGATTCATTAGAAAGGATTGACATAGGGATCTCATGGTTACTGGAATATACATAGATATATTTAAAGCATGGTGATTATAGTTAATAATAACATATATTTTGAACACTCTGGGAGGCTGAGGCGGGCGGATTGCTCGAGGTCAGGAGTTTGAAACCAGCCTGAGCAAGAGCGAGACCCCATCTCTATCATAAATAGAAAGAAATTACTCTAGAAGCAGACTGTGACAGGGAAAAATAAAAAAAAAAAAAAAAAAAAAAGAAAGAAATTACTTGGCAAGGAACTAGTGTAGACAAGAAATTAGCCGGCATGGTGACACATGCCTGTAGTCCCAGGTCTCGGGAGGCTGGGGCAGGAGGATTGCTTGAGCCCAGGATTTCAGGTTGCTGTGAGCTAGGCTGACGCCATGGCACTCACTCTAGCCTGGCAACAAAGCGAGACTCTGTCTCAAAAAATAAATAAAATTATATATATATATATATGTATATATATAATTATATAATTTTGAAATTGCTTGAGAGCAAATCTCAAATGTTTCGCCACAAAAAAAAATGAGATGAATATTTTATTTTTTATTTTTAATTATTTATTTATTTATTTTTTTAAAATAATACTTTGGTTTCATATCTTTCAAAGCTGTGAAAAAATAAATAAAACATAAAAATAAGACTTTGAGAAGCCTAAAGAGTGAGGCCATGGATTCAAGCTAAACACCTCTTTTGCCCTCAAAATCCTTTAGTTTGCTGCTGTGCCTGATCCCAGTTAAGATCCCCAGAGACTGGGGGGAAAGGAACAGAAACTGCGGTTTCAAGACTGATCCTCCAGAGCAGTCCTCACAGCACCTCCCGCACAATCGCGACGCCATTCCCTCCGCCACACTCCACACCGGCAGGACAGCCGGGGAAGCTCAAATGTCCCTGCGGAGTGCGGAGAACATGAGCTCTAGTCACCCATGGTCATTAAGACCTTTGTGACTTTGAACACAAAATCACAAGTTGAGGCTTTTCCACTACTATGATGTTTCCCAAAACGGGTTCCATGGAACTATTCTATAATCAAAATATGCCACAAGCTACTCAACAAAAAGAAAAAAGAAGACCGAGATCAAATCGCTTTGGGAAATGCTCCTGTTCTTGGAGATTTACAATTCATGTCAACCTAACAAAGATTCTGAACAGCTCAGCAGTAACTTAAATAACTGTAAGTTTTAATTTTCTTTTAATCTAATTTTTTTAACCTATTTTTTTAACCGTGGTTTGAATGTGTCCCCAAAAAAGCATGTGTTGGAACCTTACTCCCTAGTGCAACAGTGTTGGGAGGTGAGGCCTCAGTGAGAGGTGATCAGGCATGAGGGCTCTGGGTGCATGGACTGACTAGTGCCATCATGGTGGCAGGAGGGAGTTCCTTATAAAAGGAAGAGTTTGGTGCCCTTTTTTCTCTCACAATTTCTTTTTTTTTTTTTAGATTTATAGTTTTATTATAGTAACAAATAGTTCTCACAGTGAGATCACCCACATATACGATTATATTTAAATTCATTATAAGTTTTACATTTTTAAGTTATACTTTTGAATTAGAAGATGAAGTACAGCTTAAGTTTTACAACAAAGAAAAGAAAAATATACAAGACAAAACAAGACAGAGTTAACAGTAAAAATACAAACAATCTGTTCTCAATATAATGTGGAAACTTTTTGTCAAAAAGCTACATCTTCTTAATCTGATTGCAATCATTAAAATATGGATGATTCAGTGCCATCTTGCCAGAAATTCGTTTAGGCGGATCATAGACTAACATTTCGAGAGAATCTAAGCCATTTTCATCCAAGTTTTTGACATGGGATGCAAGGCTTCCTGGTTTCCACTTGGGAAATGTATTCTTATAGTCCTGTAAAGACTCCACGTCTGGCCACACACTTCATTATTGGGTGTGCCCAAACTCTGAAAATCCTGAAGAGTTTGAGCGATTTCTGAATCTCCATGGAAAAGTGGTTTCTTAGTGCTAATTCGCAAATATGGTGCTATACTCCAATGTCAACTGGAGTCGAGTAATGAGCTGACCCCAGCAATACTTCTGGGGATCTGTGCCAGAGTGTTACTACCTCATGTGTATATACTCTAATAGGTATTCCAAAAGCTCTGGCAAGGCAAAATCAGCCAGTTTAATTGTTTCTTTGTCATCAAATAAGATTTTGAGTTTTAAGTCTCTGTGAAGAACTCTTCTAGAGTGACAAAACACAATCCCCTGTAGGATTTGGTATAAATAACTCTTAACAAGTGAAGAGTCCATGAACTGACCAGGAGGGATAGAATCAAATATTCTTGAGTCCATGGAAAGAAATTCAAAGATGAGATATACCTGGAATCCTGCATAAGCACATCTTGAAGACTGACTATATTTGGATGACGAAGTTCTTTTAATAGAGAATTTCCGATTGCAGTACTAGGAACCCTTCCTCTCACTTTCTAGTCTGATTTTCTTCATGGCTACCACTTGGCTCGTAGTTTTGTGTCTACCCTTATACACAACTCATAGGTACCTTCTCCAATTTTCTCTTTGTAGTAATCTTCCATTAGTTAATCAATAGGTATGGCAGATCCGGCTCTATCGTCCCGCGCGGGCCGCAGTGGCAGTACCACGTCACCTTCGCTCCCCTTCTCAACTTCCAGGAGCCAGCTTAGAAGCTGAGTGCCTTTTTTTTTTTTGAAACAGAGTCTCACTTTGTTGCCCAGGCTAGAGTGAGTGCCATGGTGTCAGCCTAGCTCACAGCAACCTCAAACTCCTGGGCTCAAGCGATCCTCCTGCCTCAGCCTCCCGAGTAGCTGGGACTATAGGCATCGCGTACCATGCCCAGCTAATTTTTCTATATATACTTAGTGGCCAATTAATTTCTTTCTATTTTTAGTAGAGAGACAGGTCTCCTCTTGCTCAGGCTGGTCCTTGAACTTTGACCTTGAGCAATATCACCGCCTTGGCTCCCAGAGTGATTACAGGGGGACCACCGCACCGGTCCTAATGTTCCCTTGTCCTTCTGCCCTCTGCCATGGGATGTGACACAACAAGAAAGCCATCGCCACATGCCAGCCCCTTGATCTTGGACTTCCCAGCCTCCAGAACTCTAAGAGATCAATTTCTGCTCTTTGTAAATTACCCAGTCTGTTGTATTTTGTGATTTCGGCACAAGATGGAGTAAGATGCTAGGATTCGCCAAGCTGATTTTGACCACAGACTCCTTTCCACATAACACGCATGAACACACTGTGGGACAACACTCCCTAGGACATGCTTCAGGAAACACAAAACCAGTTCCCAAGAGCACATCCAGCTCAAAAGTACTGGGGTTCTGGGATACTAGTGCCCCAACAACCTGAAGGCACTTCAGATTGAGTTAGAGCTAAATGAAGTAAGACATCAAAACATCATCAGAGTTTTTCAATTGTTAACAGTTGGCACAGATGGCAGGAGAGGACACGTGATTAGAAATTCAGTCTTTAACTCGCAATGTAAGAACACAAGAGAAATATACCTGACTGAATTCTGTCCCAAATTATAGCGACGTAGTCATCCCGATCAGAACGCGACTGCTCATGCCAGAATCCCAGCGCATGGAGGAACTCGTGCTGAACCGTTGCTATTCGGTCACAGTTTGTTCCGATGGAAAGTTCTTGCCTCCCAGCACGCCTATTTCCTACTGAAGACCAGCAGCTTGCAGAGGAGTTTATGGGGGAGGAGAGAGGATGTAACAGTGATGCAGTTTGAAGTCTCAGGGAAATATCCCCACCGCCCAGCCCACTGCGTTACCCACCTGGATTCTTTGCTCTTTTATCTGGACACTGTGTGTTTCTCTCGTGACCCAGGTGACGTATGAAAACCTTACAGACCAGATGATCTTTGGAGAACTTGCTCCAACACCAAATATTACATAGGAGCAAGTCATCCCCCAGTTCACCTAGTCCTGATTTTTCCTGGAAATTTCTAAGTGTGTGAGATGGTCCTTGGTATGCCTGGGCCCATGAACAAGGGCTTTACCAGGACAGCAACCACAGAATTGCTGAGCTCGGGACAGATAATACTGTTGTCTTCTTAACTCAAGAAATAAGAGTTTCTAGGTTAAAATAAATTTGAATACAAGCATGCATGCACATACACACATGTGTGTTTTACTTGAAGGGGAAAATAAAGAGTAAATTACAAATGCTGAAATTTACGTGATTGAGGGTTGGATGGCATGCATTCCCACCTATTTTATCTTAACATTGGTAGTCTGGTTGCATGTATGGAAATATTATTGCTATGGGTAGAAAAACTACACCCAGCTCTTTTACTCTCTAGCAACCAGTAAGGGAAACATCCCACCCAACCCTAAAGGTCAGGCCCTAGGACAATTGCTGTGACGTAATGCCCCAGGCACAAGAATTCTCCTTAGAACCCTTAGAAGACTAACTCTTCAGCCTGGCACGGCGGCTCATGCCTGTAATCCCAGCACTTTGGGAGGCAGAGGAGGGAGGATTGCTTGAGGTCAGGAGTTCCAGACCAGCCTGAGCAAGAGCGAGACCCCGTCTCTACTAAAAATACAAAAATTAACCAGGCACAGTAGCATGTGCCTACAGTCCCAGCTACTTGGGAGGCTGAGGCAGGAGGATCACTTGAGTCCAGGAGTTGAAAGCTACAGTGAGCTTATGATCACACCATTGCACTCTAGCCTGGGAAACAGAGCAAGACTCTCTCCCCACCCCATCCCCCCAAAAGACTAACTCTTCAACTTACCCACTGCCCTTGATCACTGATATATAATTAGGTTCTCCAGTCCAAGGCTTGAAGTCAATACATGTTTTTAGGCGATAGCGTTCAAATGCATTGAGGATGACTCCCTTAGCATTCATTTCTGAAGGAACAAAACAAAAATTTACTTATTAAAATAATCACCATTGAACAATCCACCATGGAAACAGGTCATGCAATATATTGTTTATCATGAGTTAGTGCCTTTGCGAATGTTGAGTATTTTACTTTTACAAAATTTAGTACTCAGTACCAATTAAGTATTATATACAAGCATTTGATGATTCTTCAGATCCCTTATTTTGCCTACTATTTCCCTGGAGCCCATTAACAGTGCATTACTAAATAGTAAAAAGGGCATTTCCTTACCGCAGAGAACATATACAGCCGATCACGGGCAATCAAAATAAATAATCACTATCGCATGCTTCACCTGAGAAGTTGCAATATGTATTTAAAGACTCACAGCAGGGCTTTTAATCTGAGGACCTTGAAATGGGAGAACCTATGAATACCACGAAATAGTATGCAAAGTATACGTTTATTTATATCTATGTCTACATATGCAAAGTGAATTTTCTAAGGAGAGCTTCATGAGATATGCAAGTGAATCCGGGCCCAAAATAGGGTTAAGAATCAATGCTTTGGAGCTCAGAGTGATGCTAATGGGTTGAATAGATGTGGAGCTCAAAGAAGGCAGAGGCAAGAAAGCAACAAGGACATGCAGGAAAAGATTAAGGGCAACCTGGAGGAAGAGGCTGTGCCAGGTACCCTAGAGAGGCTGTCATAAATGGGCAATGTCCTGGTGACGTGAAGGATGGTGGCCTGCCAGGACGTGGGAGACAGTATGGCAGAATGGAAATGGCTTAGACTTTGGAGGCAAACACACCTAAGTTCTCCCCAGTCCTCAGCACTTACTTTTGACATACAATCTTTGCCAATTAAATTAACCTTCAGAGATTTGGTGTTATCATCAGTTATATGAGGATATAAAATAAACTTTGTGAGGATAAGAAGAGAAAGTATAGGTGAAAGTCCAAGAAAAATGGGCATTTGGCAAGTGTTCATTTCCAAGTGTTCATAGCCAGGTGTGGTGGCTCACACCCGTAATCCTAGCACTCTGGGAGGCCAAGGCGGGAGGATTGCTTGAGGTCAGGAGTTCAAGACCAGCCTGAGCAAGAGTGAGACCCCATCTCTACTAAAAATAGAAAAACTTAGCCAGGCATGGTGGCATGCACTTGTAATCCCAGCTACTTGGGAGGCTGAAGCAGGAGGATCACTTGAACCCAGGAATTTGAGGTTGCTCTGAACTAGGTTGACACCACAGCACTCTAACCTGGGCAACAGAACAAGACTCTGTCTCAAAAAAATAATAATAAAATAAAATAAAATGTTCTCTCTTATAAATATCACATTTGGATCATTATTTCAAATGCAACACTTCCTTAAAATAAGGCATGATGATCTTGACTAGCACACCACTGTTTTGTAACAGAATGTAAAACAAGCATGCTAGTCTAGGCTTTTTATCAAAGCTTAATGAGGACAGCTTCTACCCTACATGAATTGTTTTGAGAATTCAATAAGGGAACATATATGAAAGTTTTATAAACAATATAGCCCTCTACCAAGATAAGATCTTCATTTACCAAGGGCCTTAATTAACTTTGCATCATAGATGCAGAAAGCTCCACCTGGGATCATGGCATGTAAATCCCTAAACTCCAAAGTATGAAGCAAGTCCTTGACAATCCTAGGAATTTAGCAAGCACCTGTTCAGGATTATTTGCCCTTATTAGTGCCTTCAGGTTTCTAGTGCCTTCCTCTTCATTGCTATCCCAACCTCCTTTACCCCCATCCTCGCCATCCTCCACTTTTTCTACCCATAAGCTTGGTACTCAGGCAAGGAATTAGAACTTGTTCACTGGAAGCCATAAATGGCTGCTTCAGCTGTTACTCCTTTCAGGGAAATTGCATCTGCCAGCCAGATAACAAACACCTCAAGTTTATGATCAAGGACTAAAGTCTCACTGGTAGAATTTCATAGGTTGGCCTATCAGGATCTGGCCTTCCAGAAATTGCTTCCAGAAAACCCTTCATAAGTGTTTACCTTTGTTACACATAACAGTGGCCTTGCTTAGTAATTTTCTTAGTCCAAGTCATTTAAAGATGGTGTAAGTTTCTGAAAGATGAGGAAATACTTCTCTTATTTGAACATAGAAACTAAGCTGAATTCTACAATTCAATAGTTGAATTCTGTAATTCTAAATTGAATTACACAGAGGTAAAGTATTTTCTACATAAGAAAGAATCAAAATCACAGAATTACAAAAATTGGCCTATAATAATTTGAAATTTAACCCTTTTATAAGGATTATATACCTGAAAAAATGCAGTTACATTACATGAAAAAATAGAATAAAAAATTTAAAACATCATAGCTATAACTATGTAAAAATGTGCACAGTTTGGATGAGAAGACCTAGGCTGAATTCTTTACCTAATGTGTTTCATTTATATATATGTTTATCAATTTATTTAATAAACATATATTAACTGCTTATAATATGCCATGGACTATGCTAAGCCTCAGATCTGCGAGATGAAAAATAGCTCCTGTCCTCAAGGCATTCACATATTGTTGATAGGCTATATTACTAAAATGCTAAAAACATGTAAAACTCATAAAGTTAAGATGGCTTTGATTTAAAATCCATGGCAAAAATAGTCTAAGAGGGCCGGGCGTGGTGGCTCACGCCTGTAATCCTAGCACTCTGGGAGGCGAGGCGGGTGGATTGCTCAAGGTCAGGAGTCAAAACACCCTGAGCAAGAGCAAGACCCCGTCTCTACTATAATAGAAAGAAATTAATTGGCCAACTAATATATATAGAAAAATTAGCCGGCATGGTGGCTCATGCCTGTATCCCAGCTACTCAGGAGCGAGGCAGGAGGATTGCTTGAGCCCAGGAGTTTGAGGTTGCTGTGAGCTAGGCTGACGCCATGGCACTCACTCTAGCCTGGGGAACAAAGCGAGACTCTGTCTCAAAAAAAAAAAATAGTCTAAGAGATACAGTCAAATTAGAGTTCACTGATCTTTCATGGAACACACTTAGGAGAATAAATTTTTTACAAAGTGAAATATCTAAAAAATTTAAAAACAAAAGTACTTTAAAATTTTTTAATCAAAATACTAAACCAAAAAAAAAATGTATTTACAGTCTTTCAAGTTCCCCTGATTAGAAAAGTTAATGAACATCTTTTGCTCCTCATATTCCATAAGTTCTTCATACCTTCTAATCCTGTTACCTACTCTTGCCTTGGCTTTCTCTACCCTACTCTTGGCCATCTATGTCTCTGGCCAATCCTTTCTTCTCAAGAACCTCTACCAGATCTTTCTTTTCTACCAATTCTAAAAAATTGCACTCCCAGGCTGAGTTCCACTCTCGGTCATCTTCTCACTCAATATGATCTTCTAGGATCATTCAACAAGATCCAATTACCTGTGGAGTAGCTGTTATATGTGAAATGCTCATTCATACCCATAGTTTCAACTATCTCCTACATGCTAATAACTCCCAAATATTTCTCTGTTTTGAATGGCCAGGTCATATCCCAACAATTTATTTGATATCTCCTCCACAGTAACCTTGATGCATTTCAAATTCTGCATGCCACGAACTGATTTCCACCACCCTTCTCTACTTACCCTCTTCAAGATATATTCCCCATTCTTGTTAAAGGCATTTCCATCCACCCAGTCACCCAGGACTGAATCCTGTGCACTACCATCTCTGTACCTAGACCCACCATCTTCCTGACCTCTTGCAATCAACCACTAAATCTAATAATTGCTCCGTAAATCTCTAGTAGAATTATCCACTGGTGTCTGTCCCCACTGAAAGAGTCTTGATTTAGAACCTCTTCATTTCTTCCCTGAATTTCCTCAATAGTCTTCTAACTCATCTCTCCACTTTCTTTTTACCCCACTAATAACACATGTTCTATACTGCAACCAGAGTGACCATTCTAAAACGCAATTATAACAAATCTCACTTCCACAGTAAAACTTTTGGTGGTTCCACATTCCCATCAGTATAGACACCAGATCCTGAACATGGCAAAGACCCAAGTTCTGGGGGCCTGCCTACCTATTCAACTTCCTTATCTCCCCACTCCCATTCTAAATTCCAGCTAAGAGTCTTCTCCCTTCTCCACGCCTTTGCACACAGTTGTCCATCTGCCTAAAGCCCCTTCTCTTGCTAGCAGAGACTGCACTCACCACATGGTACCTGTGTGCCAGTTAGAAAAAGGCACTGCACCTGAGCAGATGCTGCCAGTGCTGGCTGGCCAGGGGGGTGAACAGCGCTTTTAAGCAAAGAAATGAATATCCCCTGATAAAAAGAATGCAAACTTGATATTGGCCCCACTTGTCACTTCTCCCAGCCACCTATTTAGGGTGTGCAATTTATACCACCTTCATAGGAGCCCTGCTGCACAGTGTCATCTGCTCCCTTATACATGGGCCTTTGTAGCTAACGTGAGCTAAATGCCCCTTCAATGTGCTTCCACAGCTCTTGAAACATCTCACTGATCATAATGTGTATTCCATTCTACCATAATTTACTTTTGGTTTATCTGAATGCATGATCTTTAGGGGAAAAAGCAGGTTCTTTTCCCCCACCTTTTCCCAAACAACAGTTTCTAAACTGATACAGGTCAGTGACATGGTTGTCACCCAGCCCCTAAGTAAAATGAGCATCATGCTCAGAGTGTTCCATTACAATCAAATTTCTCCTATAGAAAACCTCTCCTTAGTCGTGGATTAGATTCTTCTGACTTTTTAGTATTTTAATACTATAATAACATTATTTATTTTATGAAAAGGTGATGATAGACCACAGGTGGTTCTTATTGTTGTTTAAGTTCCCGACTTGGCAAAATAAAATGTTGGTAAAACAATGCCAGTCCCTAAAGTTTTGTTTAGTTGGTCATTTTATGCTTTTATGCTTTTCTCATACGTAAAATCTGCACATGAGAAACCACTGCTTTAGAATAAAGACTAACTCTCCACACTTGATTTTAGCCAAAAGACCGAGAATCGATGAGACTAACTCTCTAATCCTCATGTCTCTAATGTCCAGCACGGAATAGTCTCTCCATAAATACATTAATATTTAATTAATCTTATATTGGTCAAAACACAGCAAATATTTCAGACAGAATCATTTTGGTTATTTTCATTGTTCATTTCACTTATTTTTTTTTTAAGTAAATGTACATAGCCACACAAAGGAACAAGCAGGCAAAACCTTAAAGACCATACGAGCCCACCCTTGGAAACACTGTAATCCTACTCTGTTGGGAGCATACAGTAAGTATGGATATTTTGAGGCACATACTGACCCAACTATCTTCCAGAACATAAGGAATGGTATGAGGCCATCTATATTTTTCTCCAATGATGGAATTTCTTTCTTGTGCCTGTCAAAAATAAATGCGAAAGAGCTAGTTAAATGAATTAAGCAAAAACTTATGAAACAATCAATAGTTAATCTAAAAATAAATAAAGATTAAAGCTCTCCCAGCTAGCCCAAACAAATTGTGTGTGTATATCTGTGTACCTCTGATTTTATCCTAATGTAACAAAGTTTCTAGGAATCATGTTAAAAAATGATTGTTGGGATTCCACTTGCTCAAAGTCTCTTGGTGTGACTATGGGTAAAAAAAATATTTACAAAATTATTTTAAGAAATAATTGTTGGACAGCTGGGCGCGGTGGCTCACTCCTGTAATCCTAGCACTCTGGGAGGCCAAGGCGGGAGGATCACTCAAGGTCAGGAGTTTGAAACCAGCCTGAGCAACAGCGAGACCCCGTCTCTACTAAAAATAGAAAGAAATTAATTGGCCAACTAAAAATATATAGAAAAAATTATCCAGGCATGGTGGCACATGCCTATAGTCCCAGCTACTCGGGAGGCTTAGGTAGAAGATCGCTTGAGCCCAGGAGTTTGAGGTTGCTGTGAGCTAGGCTGACACCAGGGCACTCTAGCCCAGGCAACAGAGTGAGACTCTGTCTCTAAATAAATAAATAATAAATAAGAGATGACTTCGCTGTAGGGGATGAAGGTAGATAGAGGGTGGAAAAGATTACAGGAGAACAACGTTTGAAATAGAAAGAGAAATTGGGAGGCTCACGAAAAAGCCAGGCAAGAGTAATGGACTTGAATTAGGGTGACAGAGACAAGGGGACAGTTGGGGAGTGTGCTGGAAGTAGAAATGCAGAACTTGGTGATGATGGGCTGGGTGGGGAGGGAAGGGAGAAAGTAAAGGTGACACCTGAGGATTTTATTTATCCAGTGGAGTGGAGTAGAGAGTGACAGCATTTTACAAAGAGGCAGACGGGGAGGAAGGGTTTGGGGGGAAGACCAAGTTCACCTGGTCAGAGACACCATTGATTTGAGATGTCTTGTGGACATCTCGAATGAACCGGCTAAGTGGCACTGATAGACCAGTCTGCAGTGCAAGGAGAGGAAGGACTAGATTCTACCTTTGGAGTCATTGGCCTGGAGAAGACATTGGAAGCCCTGGCCCAAGGTGAGACCGAGAGGAAGACAGTGCATGCAGAAGAGTAGACCCAGGACTGAGCCTCCAACACTGCAGCGCCCGCGGGGGCATGAGGATGTCAGTGCTTCCCACTTAGGAAGTAAGGAGTGACTTAGGACTGTGTCTGAGGGAAGAACAGAATTTTAAAAAAAAAAAAAAAAAAGTCTATTGGAGATTTCTAGATCAAGGGTATATGTATTTTAAATTAGATGGATTTTGTTAATTTATGTATTTTGTTGTTTATATACTCCTCAATATAATCACATTATAAACACATTCGTGTTTTGTTTTTGTTTTGGAGGGTGGAGACAGTCTCACTCTGTTGCCCTAGCTAGAGGGCAGTGGCATCAGCCTAGCTCACAGCAACCTCAAACTCCTGGCTCAAGCAATCCTCCTGCCTCAGCCTCCCCAAAGTAGCTGGGGCTCAGGTGTGCACCACCACACCCGATAATTTCTATTTTTGTAGAGATGGGGTCTCACTCTTGCTCAGGCTGATCTCAAACTCCTGACCTTAGCGATCCTCCACACCTCAGCCTCTCAGAGTGCTAGATTACAGGGGTGAGCCACCACACCCGGTGTATAAACACATTCTTAAACAACCATCTTAGTTCTCTCTATCATCACCAAAAGTTTTGTAACTTTTAGAATCTTTTCAAATCTTGTATATGATAAACTATATCTTGTCTTTAAAAAATTAGTACTTATGGCCAGGTGCGGTAGCTCACACCTGTAATCCTAGCACTCTGAGAGGCAAGGCAGGTGGATCATTTGAGCTCAGGAGTTCGAGACCAGCCTGAGCAAGACGAGACCCCCGTCTCTACCAAAAATAGAAAGAAGTTAATTGGACAGCTAAAATATATAGAAAATTTAGCCAGCCATGTGGTGCAGCTGCATGCTTAGTCCCAGCTACTCGGAGGCTGAGGTAGAAGGATCGCTTGAGCCCAGGAGTTTGAGGTTGCTGTGAGCTAGGCTGACCCATGACACGTAGCCAGCAACAAGAGTGGACTCTGTCTCAAAAAAAACAAAAAGAAAAAGAAAAGAAATCAGGCGGACGCGGTGGCTCACGCCTGAATCCTAGCACTCTGGGAGGCCGAGCCAGGGGAGTTGCTCGAGGTCAGGAGTTCGAAACCAGCCTGAGCAAGAGCAAAACCTCTCTACTATAAATAGAAATAAATTAATTGGCAACTAATATATATAGAAAAAATTAGCCGGGCATGGTGGCACTGCCTGTAGTCCCAGCTACTCGGGAGGCTGAGCAGCAGGATTACTTGAGCCCAGGAGTTTGAGTTGCTGTGAGCTAGGCTGACGCACAGCACTCACTCTAACCTGGCAACAAAGCAGATCTGTCTCAAAAAAAAAAAAAAAGAAAAAAAGAATCAGCAGTCTTCATGAATAGTTGGTTGGGAGACCTTACTGACAATACTATTTTTAGCTGAGGCCAGGGTAGACTCACAAATCCATTTCTTATGGTAAAGAGCATGATTCATGAAGATGTTTACAAATTCAGTTTAATTTTGCTTCAATTAGATTGAATCTGTGAGGTTCTAGTTTAAAATGAAAATGTCATATTGTTCCAATGATGAAAACCAATAAGATTAAGACATATGTGGCCAGTTATGGTAGCTTTAACCGCACAACAATCTGAGTAATGAAAGATGAAGACACTATTATATGCATCCATTCGACTACAGTGTACTCATTGAATAAATGTGTCTCCATGATTCTGTGCACTTAGATATGATTGGGCTTCACAAAACGCATGCTGTCTAATCATTCTCAGTTACTCTATATTTATGTTGCAGTGATTAATAGATTATTCCTTGCACAGTTTCGACTCACCGCATCAAGTTTGATATCTCCCTCAAAAAGATCCAGTCCCAAATCTAAGAGTGAAATAAAAATTCATGTTAGCAAACTAGATTCAAACTCTCCACTTAAAAGATGATGTTTTTTAAAAATCCACAAACCTTCATTGATATCAAATATATCCTGGTCAATTCCACCATCTACATCTAAAATAACAAAGGAAAAAACCCATTGAATATCACATTTATGTTTATAAAAGGAGAAATCTTTATCATTTACATAAATCGAAACTAAGCAAGTTTATTTTGCCTCGAGTAAATTACTATTAGATTCTGATTCAACATACATTGATTGATTGATTGATTGAGAATCTCCCATGAGCCAGTTTAGGGGTAAAGGACTTTTACATATGTACTCTGTCCTATACACATTCCTTGAATGTCAAATGTCTTCAGGAATAAGAAATTGGTCACTTTGTATATTATTAAGCTTAATTTGGAATACTAGACTAGATGATTAGATTAAATCGAAAAAAAATTTTCAGTTTAAATTTGGCCAAACCATCTCAATCTACCCATATATGTATTATCCCTTGCTAGTAGTATATCTTGGAATTCACATGCAAAATTCTTCAGTTAAACTTGAATGACGTTTATAAGTGGCAAAGTGGTAGATAATACAGCCAAATCTCTAAGGTTGAACTGAATAGGTGTGGTCTGTATTATTAGGTCCCTATGATTTGACAAAAAATAGCAAAAACAATAATAGTAAGTATTTATGGGATATCTATGTGTCTGTCAGTCACTGTGTTTGGCTTTTCCTATAGCATCAGCTATTTTTCTGCTGGGCATATGGACCCTGGAACATGGACAATAAAATGATCCTCCAATAAATTAAAAGAACTCAGTGTTAGATCAAAGTTCAATGCAATTGTGCATATGTAATTATATATTATATTTGGCATTAAATATGTCCTAGGTTCTCTATAACCTAGAGCAAAACTCAAAGTAGACTCACCAAAGTTTTCTGGAGTTGGCTGGGAAACAAACACATTAAACAAAAGATATTATTATGATGCCCATGATATAAATGATCTTCTTGGTTTCAACTTATGTCTAGCCATTTGTTGTTTGTTTGCTTTTTCATTAATATTATGGATTACTTTCTGTCATGTATTCAAGACAGCTAAATTGGAGTCTAAGATGATTTTTTGACCAAAGGGTCTTCTCATTTCATATAGAAAATTAAACTGCCTGGTAAATCAATTTGAAAGTAAAACAAATAAGACACCAGCTTCAAAAATTAAAAAAAAAAAAAAGGCAGAACATAAGACTATATCCCTTAAATAAGTGTTCACTTTATACATGATTTTCTAAAGGATTCATTGAGCAATGTTTGAAAGACCTAATATAATTAAAACAAAGCATTGTGGAAAAAAAGACCTAATAATTTATTCCCAATGTAAAAATATTATTATAATTTATAGCAATCCTTTCAAAATAAATTTTATTCAAGACCTCATTAATCATGCTTTCCTTTCATATTTCTCTCAAGATTCTGTCTTCAAAGACAGTATCAAATATTTAAGAAAAAAACAATGAGTATATTTTGTGATTAAATTTTTTTTTCTGAGAATAGATTCTCCACAAATAACCAATGAAACTCAGACTGCATGCACAGTGGGGAAAAAAAACACGTAAATCTGAGAAATTTCTTAGTCAGTATAATCTAGTAAAAAAGCTCATGTAACTTTCTGGGTTGTTACTGGTTCCATCAACTAAAAGTAATTCAGTTCACATTCCAGGTATTCATACTATCTATAAAATATAGTCAGTACCTTCTTTGCCTGGATATTGTGACAGTTATATGCTAAGATGTGAAAGCACTTTGTAAACAATAATAAATTGTCACAAAAGTGTAAAGTATAATTTTATTCAAATATAGCTTACATATCTAAATACTAGAAACATTTAAAGTGTTTTAAAATGTGGAAATGTACTAGTTGAATGGTTACCATCATTTTTTATATTAACAAATATGTTGGTTGTTTCACACTATAACTACACACAGGCACAAACTCAGAGAGAAATGCCAATGTACCTATAGAATAGAGTTAGCAAGAATTTGTTCCTAATTACAGTTTTAACACATATTAATCAGTCTCTCTTGTTCACAGTGTTCTAGTTCCTATTCATAGAATATCAGCATAATATCACTGTTATTTTAAAATCACAACTAAAGATTTTCCCCCAGGAATTTGCAACTTCATTTAAAACCTTAAGTTGGTTTGTGGTGTGAACTACCTGTTAAAAAACATTAGTCCAAATTGTAGAAAAATTAGTCTAAATTAAGGAAGAAAAAGTAGAGAAATCCCATGTTCCAAACTTTGTAAGTATTGACTGCGCCTGTGATATTCATTCATGTCTCCATTACTGTAGCAGCAATCTGCATTTCATTCAACTTTAAAAATGGAATGATTTTCAAATTCATATTTTCATCTCATGAAAAGAAAACTTGTTACACAAAAATAAAACTGAAAGAAAAACATAACCTATGTCAACATCTCTGATTCTCTCTCTGGTGAGACCACTCCTCATACCCTGCCTGCCTCCTCTCCAAAAAGAAACACTCATTTGAGATTAACATTTGAAAATTTATATTTAAAAATGAACAAATAGTTATCCTTTAACAATCAGTTTCAAGTGCCCCAGATTTTTCTAATTGTTTTCTATGCATTGTTTTCTTACCAAGGCAGAAATCACAAGAAGAATGTTAAGGAACAGAAACCAAGACTGATTCCATGAATCCATGTTGTAGCTTCCAGTTGAAAGTTGCAAACTATGACAGTCAGAGTAGAGTTGACTTTTTAAAAAGCAAACAGCATAACTTATAGCTTTTGATCTCAATAATCCATCTTGCAGGTCAGTTCGGTGTAGTATTACCTACAATCAAGGTGTTAAAGTCCAGTATCCTTAACACAGCTCCTCGGAGTTGGTTTGCTGTTGTTTTTTTGGTTTGGTTTGTTTTTTCTGTATCAAACATTCAACATTTAAATGCCTGGCTGAGATTTGTTAATGAAATACATTCTCTGATGTATATATACTGGTCCAAAAGACTATTAAATACCATTTGATCAAAAGAAAATGCCAAGTTAATTTTTATTTTTTGATCTTTCAAATAATAATAAGCATTTAGGAAGCTCATCCTGCTCATATAGCCCTGTGCTGTTTTAATATATCCAGTTATGTCCACTGCTTTGTCTCATTCACTCATTTAATAAAAATTTATTGGGTGCCTAAAATTTATTAAGTTATAAAATCCATTAATGGGCCAGATCAGGCATATTTGAAATTCAGATATAAAGTAGCAAAATAGCAACATATCTCACTCCTGAAAATTCCCATCAAGCAAACATAGGTAGGAGTTGGGGCGATAAGAGTAGGGCTGGTCATTGGTGTTCTAATAAAACAATGTTCCCAATCCATCTCTTAATTCTTCCTCACTTTTTCCTTTTTTTCTTGGTATAACTTCTCTTTTGAGGCAACCTACACTCTAACTCAGTTCTCATGGTTTCACTTTCAACTTGTGATGCAGGATAATTTTTTTAAATAATAATTTTTTCCCATAGTTTTTCCTTCACCTCTCCAGCTTGTTCTTCACCCCATTCTGTGCTAATAGAAGGATATCAAGAGACATGTAACATAGACAAAGGATTTGGGGGATTGCTTCTTGAATATAAGCAAGCCACTCCCACCCGTTGAGGGTAGGATGAGAGTTAAAAGGGTAAGTTAAAAACTGTAGGTATAGGGCCGGGCGAGGTGGCTCACGAGACAAAGTCTCACTTGTTTGCCTGGCTAGAGTGCCCTGGTGTCAGCCTAGCTCACAGCAACCCTCAAACTCCTGGGCTCAAGGCGATCCTTCTACCTAAGCCTCCCGAGTAGCTGGGACTAATAGCATGCCCACATGCCTGTAATTTTTTCTATATATTTTTAGTTGGCCAATTAATTTCTTTCTATTTTTAGTAGAGACGGGGTCTCGCTGTTGCTCAGGCTGGTTTCAAACTCCTGACCTTGAGTGATCCTCCCGCCTTGGCCTCCCAGAGTGCTAGGATTACAGGAGTGAGCCACCGCGCCCAGCTGTCCAACAATCATTTCTTAAAATAATTTTGTAAATATTTTTTTTTACCCAGAGTCACATCCAAGAGACCTTGAGCAAGTGGAATCCCAACAATCATTTTTTAACATGATTCCTAGAAACTTGTTACATTAGGATAAAATCAGAGGTACACAGATATACACCACACATTGTTTGGGCTAGCTGGGAGAGCTTTAATCTTTATTTATTTTAGATTAACTATTGATTGTTTCATAAGTTTTTGCTTAATTCATTATAACTAGCTCTTTCGCATTTATTTTGACAGGCACAAGAAAGAAATTCCATCATGGAGAAAAATATAGATGGCCTCATACCATTCCTTATGTTCTGGAAGATAGTTTGGGTCAGTATGTGCCTCAAAATATCCATACTTACTGTATGCTCCCAACAGATAGGATTACAGTGTTTCCAGGGTGGCCTCGTATGGCTTTAAGGTTTTGCCTGCTTGTTCCTTTGTGTGGCTTATGTACATTTACTTAAAAAAATAATGAAATGAACAATGAAATAACCAAATGATTGTCTGAAATATTTGCTGTGTTTTGACCAATATAGGATTAATTAAACCAGTATTTATGGAGAGACTATTCCGTGCTGGACATTAGAGACATGAGGATTACAGAGTTAGTCTCATCGATTCTCAGTCTTTTGGCTAAAATCGAGTATGGAGAGTTGGTCTTTATTCTAAAGCAGTGGTTTCCCATATGTGCAGATTTTACGTATGAGAAAAGCATAAAAGCATAAAATGACCAACTAAACAAAACTTTAGGACTGGCATTGTTTCCAACATTTTATTTTGCCAAGTCGGAACTTAAACAACAATAAGAACCCCCTATGGTCTATCATCACCTTTTCATAAAATAAATAATGTTATTATAGTATTAAAATACTAAAAAGTCAGAAGAATTAATCCACAACTAAGGAGAGGTTTTCTATAGGAGAAATTTGATTGTAATGGAACACTCTGAGCATGATGCTCATTTTACTTAGGGGCTGGGTGACAACCATGTCACTGACCTGTATCAGTTTAGAAACTGTTGTTTGGGAAAAGTTGGGGGAAAAGAACCTGCTTTTTCCCTAAAGATCATGCATTCAGATAAACCAAAAGTAATTATGGTAGAATGGAATACACATTATGATCAGTGAGAATGTTTCAAGAGCTGTGGAAGCACATGAAGGGCATTTAGCTCACGTTAGCTATAAAGGCCTATGTATAGGGAGCAGATGACACTGTGCAGCAGGGCTTCTATGAAGGTGGTATAAATTGCACACCTAAATAGGTGCTGGGAGAAGTGACAAGTGGGGCCAATATCAAGTTTGCATTCTGTTTATCAGGGGATATTCATTTCTTTGCTTAAACACTGTTACCCCCCTGGCCAGCAAGCACTGGCAGCATCTGCTCAGGTGCAGTGCCTTTTTCTAACTGGCACACAGGTACCATGTGGTGAGTGCAGTCTCTGCTAGCCAGGAGAAGGGGCTTTAGGCAGATGGGACCACTGTGGTGCAAAGGCGTGGAGAAGGGAGAAGATCTTAGCTGGAATTTAGAATGGGAGTGGGGAGATAAGAAGTTGAATAGGTAGGCAGGCCCCCAGAACTTGGGTCTTTGCCACGTTCAGGACTGGTGTCTATACTGATGGGATGTGGAACCACCAAAGTTTTACTGTGGAAGTGAGATTTGTTATAATTGCGTTTAGAATGGTCACTCTGGTTGCAGTAATAGAACATGTGTATTAGTGGGGTAAAAAGAAATGGAGAGATGAGTTAGAAGACTATTGAGGAAATTCAGGAAGAAATGAAGAGGTTCTAAATCAAGACTCTTTCAGTGGGGACAGACACCAGTGGATAATTCTACTAGAGATTTACGGAGCAATTGTTAGATTTAGTGGTTGATTGCAAGAGGTCAGGAAGATGGTGGGTCTAGTACAGAGATGGTAGTGCACAGGATTCAGTCCTGGGTGACTGGGTGGATGGAAATGCCTTTAACAAGAATGGGGAATATAATCTTGAGAGGTAAGTAGAGAAGGGTGGTGGAAATCAGTTCGTGGCATGCAGAATTTGAAATGCATCAAGGTTACTGTGGACGGAGATATCAAATAAATGTTGGGATAATGACCTGGCCATTCAAAACAGAGAAATATTTGGGAGTTATTAGCATGTAGGAGATAGTTTGAAACTATGGTATGAATGAGCATTTCACATATAACAGCTACTCCACAGGTAATTGGATCTTGTTGAATGATCCTAGAGATCATATTGAGTGAGAAGAATGACCGAGAGTGGACTCAGCCTGGAAGTGCAATTTTTTAGAATTGGTAGAAAAGAAAGATCTGGTAGAGGGTTCTTGAGAAGAAGGATTGGCCAGAGACATAGATGGCCAGAGTAGGGTAGAGAAAGCCAAGGCAAGAGTAGGTAACAGGATTAGAAGGTATGAAGAACTTATGATATATGGAGGAGCAAAGATGTTCATTAATTTTCTAATCAGGGAACTTGAAAGACTGTAAATACATTTTTTTTTTGGTTAGTATTTTGTTAAAATTTTAAGTACTTTTGTTTTTAAATTTTTTTAGATATTTCACTTGTAAAAAATTCTCCTAAAGTGTGTTCCATGAAAATCAGTGACTCTAATTTGACTGTATCTCTAGACTATTTTTTTTTTTTTGAGACAGAGTCTCGCTTTGTTCCCAGGCTAGAGGAGTGCCTGGCGTCAGCCTAGCTCACAGCAACCTCAAACTCCTGGGCTCAAGCATCCTCCTGCCTCAGCCTCCTGAGTAGCTGGGATACAGGCATGCACCACCATGCCGGCTAATTTTTTATATATATTAGTGGCCATTAATTTC